TTTTTTTTTGCGATTGTTCCTTGTTTGTGAATGGTGCGATTATTCCAGCTGTCAAACGAGTTGAAGCTTAACGTGGAGGAATTGGCTCGTCTCAGCGAACAACTTCAAGAAGCGAAGTCACGCGCCGATGAGTCGGTTTGCTAATAATCTACTCATTTATCTCAGTAAATATTATGGTCAAATCTAGCTCGGGTTGTTTGAGCTTTCTCGGCGACGATTCTTTCTGTTTGGTAAAAAAGAATCCCCTGGAAGAGCATTTCACGATGAACTCTGGGCAATGTCTTTAGTATGAGAGGTGCGCACCTTCGGGATACGTCACCTCCTTGGGTCAAAACTAAGCGATGCAGGGGTTAGGACCCTTTCCGCCTGGTGAGACAAGCCTAACAAGGCAAACTGTAGTAAGGGAGCAGAGACCGTGAAATATATCCTAAAGTGTTAATAGTTTTCTGCCTAATATCTAACAGAAGACACATGGCTGTAGACAGTCCACTGGAGCACCTACTTCTGCTTTGTGCTCCCTCGGTATCATTGGTATTCGAGCGTGGCTTTAGAAGGAATACATGGGACAGCTCTTTCGCTCTGACATGTTGGCAGATTTCTTAATGATTGGGGCCGCAATTTAGAAGTGTCTATAATTATTTCTGTCTTTATGGCTGCTTGGATTATTTTTAAATTTGATTAACATCGAAAAACAGAGAATAATATGCCAGTTTCAGAGGAGACCGAATAAAATCTGAACTTGAACAACTACGCAAAGAAGACATGGAATTGAAAGAAAAGTTTGATAGTGTTGTGACAGAGAAAGAAAATCTAGTAAGTTCTTCTCGATTGTTCGAAAACCATCATAGAGAAAGTACTTATCGTTCATAGGATGAAATTGGGAATTAGGATAGCCAGCCAAGCGGCCACCGACTTGATATGTAATGGTAACAAATGTGGTCTTCCTCTAGTCACATTTTAGTCATGCGGCCTTTCATTATGAAAATTAGGAATATCGCGAAAATAGCAAACGGAAAACAGAGGTTTATGCAACACTTCATTCTAAATAACGGGATCATTCTCTTTTAGTCTAAATCGGGTATCGATCGCATGGCACCCTTTTCATTTGCTTTTGTTTTTGTTAAGTAGGAGAGCAAATTTGAATCGGTTTTATTGACAATTTGTGTTGGATTTGTTTATGCGTAGTGAGAGGTTTATCAGATAAAAACTGAAACGCACATCGGTGAGATCCTACTATTCATTATCCGAGTGTTTGTCGTTGTTTCCTTGGTCGTATAGTGAACGGAAGGCATTTTTATAAATGTTCTAATTTTTGTCTTATTATTACTTTTATAAAGGAGATTTCTTGTTCTTTACCTATTTCGTTTTGTTTTGAACTTTTTGAATCTTTTTGTTATAGATCCAAACAGCGTTGTTTTTTTAGTGCTGAACTTATTACATTTCGACTGCATTTCATATTATATTTTCATAATTTTTCTTTTTCGTGTTTTCAGTTACAAGTTCTCAATTCGAATCAGGACAAGGATAAGGAAGCTGTCCAATTGTTACAGAAGGAACTATCGGCAGCGAACAACTTGGTTATGGAACATGCAAAGGAGAAAGAGGGGTGCGACTGCAACCGTTCAAATCTTTTGGTTTCCTATTGGAGAATTTTGTATGATTACTCGTTTAGATTGCTGGCTGAACTGGAATCCTTGAAAAAGACTGTAGCTGCTGAAGTAGAGTCGAAAAATGCGGTTACTGAAGAGATTTCTTTAGCTAAACAACAAATACAGCAACTCTCTGAAGATGTACGTCCTTCATCAATTTTACTTTCTAATTGTTCTCTGGTGAGCTCTAGATTGATTGATAGGTGTACGCTTCAGAAAAAAGCTTTGGAAGACCAGCTCCAAAAGTCGTCGCGCGATGAAGCAGAGATGAAAGAAAGGGTCTCAAACCTTGAGCGAGACAA